ACACACACACACACACACACACAAGGCTGCAGCTGTTGGTAGTCCGTCATGAGAAGTGGAAGTGACTCATCCAGCATCAGCACTGGACATCTCCTCAAACCAGGTCAATGTGGTAAAATATACAGTTTCACATTCTGGTCTAGGGAGGAGTAGGAGGGTTAGAGCGCCTCCGGGAGGGCAAACAGGCTCATTGCACTTTCAAATGTGGAGATTAAAATACTTCACATGGATTAAAGGTTGAGGTAGTTGCATATTTATGAAAACAACAAATCCCCAATATGAAAATATCAGGATTACAAGTTCAATGCCAAAACATTTAAAACACTACACTCTTAAAGTGTTGAAATTCTCACCAAAGTGAGTTTATAATGACCTGAAGACTTTATTTAGTGCTCAAAGAAATCCAACATGATTTTTATTCGACACGTTCATTTAAATTTGCCAAACTAATGTTGAGGTGTGAATGAGCCTCTAAGAAACAGAGACTGGTCCTAATCAGCTTCCTTCAGTTATTTTTGGCTAAAAAAACAAACTCATGATGTTGTTACATCTCAGAATAGAAAAAATATTCCAGGCACCATGCCACAGGGTTTCTTCATCTTAACTCCAACAGATTTAGTGATGTCGATTACACATCAATATTTATGTAACCTTTCTGCACATCGGACACCAGAAGCAACCGGTCATACCACACCAAATAAGGCTGCAACTGCAAGAACCCTTCAGTGGATTGACTGAGGCAATAAAAGGCATTTTCAGTTTTTTGTGATACTGGACAATTGTCATTCGACCAGAAGAGGTCGCTATAAGCTCAGTGATGAAGCAGTAAAGCACAAACGACACATCTCTGCAGCTCTTTATATTTAATATTTCAATTCAGGAACTGAACATGAAAGCTTATTTGTGAATAGGGAACATGTAATGTAAGCGTATTGTGTTAATATAATGGGAATTAATTTATCACAACTGGTTTTCCATTTGTAAATAAGCATAAAATGCACAACACTGGTCAAAATGGAAAACAGAAAAAAGTAGAAGTGCTGAATTAAATCATCTGCTCTTTTCTTTTCCACTTTGAAAACAGTTTTTGATTCTGCCTGAGATGTGACAAAGATGTTTCCACTGTCATGAAATGTCCTGACAAATAGGAAGTCAGTACATTTCCTCAATTAAAGCCTGCCCTGAAGATTTGGGCCAAATGCACCAGGGTGGTCGACAGGGCTGAAGGCGCTGGACGACCGGAGGGAGTGCACCTGTGTTTCCTGATGCTTGATCCACATCTGCATTGCTGCTGAGGTTTTGTTTACTTTTCGCTGTTTGTGCTGACATAGTTTTTCTTGGCCGACCATTTTATTGTGCATTAATTGTGCAGGAATGCATGTGCGAGGACCTCTCAAGCTGTTTCTGTGACCTCTGTGTGCGAGACATTGATTCGTGTTATGCTTCGGGGTGATCTTCTTGTTTATACTTGGGATGTTGTTGCAATGAGGAGATCAAGATTCCTTAAATGCGAAAGACGTTCCGCACGATCGTCTGGCATCACAGCTGTAAATATGGTGCAAGTTTATTTGCACAGACGGTAAAATGACCAAATAAAACAAGTTTAACCAGGATCCGGAAGACGTGTTGTTGTTTGGTGGATTCAATGACATTTTCTATCCAGACAAATCAACAGCAACATGAGTAACTGTCAAACACGTCACTGTTGACAAATCATCTGAAATGCTCTGAACTTTAGTTTTCATACATCTGCGGCCGAGCTTTTATTGTCGTTCCCTGACGCTGACCTCAACACGGAAGCCAGCCGCACAAATCTGTTCTGGCCCAGGAAAAGCAAATCGCCATGTAATCCACTAATGCTTCCTTTTCGAGGAGAAAGGCTGTATGTTATTGTTCGGCCGTGCCACTTGGCCCCGATGAATAAAGATGGGAAAAGACAGTAAATTAAAGCCGGCTCAGGGTCATCGAGGGCCGGAGAGGAAACCTGGTCCCCTGCAGAGGAAGCGACAGGATGACGGAGCGCATCGCTGGAGCCAGACGAACTCATCCAGAGGCTGGAGGACGATTCCAGGTCCCTGGTTTGGATTTATGTAGAAGGATTAATGACATGATGAAGAAGATGGAGGCAGGCTACCATTTCATTAGACGAATGGAATTTGTTCTGTGCTCATCTGTTCATACTATGTGAAATATTGGTAAACGTAGCAACTTGTATAGCAACGGCTGCTAAATATTTTAGTTTTGAATTATAAGTCTGTTAAGTTAAGTCTGTCTGAACTTGACATTATCAGCCGTTCTGTTCTTATTGATGGGTTTTAAAGATTCATGGATTTTTAATAGAGTTTTGTTTCGTATCAAGCTATGAGACAATGTGTTGTTGTAACATATTGGCTATTTGTTTTATGGTCTTGCTACCAGAGATCTTATAAAAGATGTTTCTTTTGGCTTCTATCGCGCCAGTCAGAAATCACACTTCATTACCTCTGACCACAGCCTCTGGAGCCATTAGAGGCCACACACTTCTAACTTGTTACGTTTATACGGATAAAACACAGAGCTCTGGAATTAAAAGTCAAAAACAGAACCTGTTCATTCGCTGTTTCTTTAACCAACATCTCATTCTTTCTGAATTGAACAAAACAAAACTTGGCAAGATGTTTTAACATGATTTATAGTTTTGCTGACATCCACGTCTAAAATCTGAGAGACTCAACATCAAGAGCTGGTATATTTAAGTTCATAGTTATAATCCATGGACCTAAACACTGCTTCTCCTCCTGCCGAGGCCTGCAGCCTGTCTTTGCTTCACACCCTCTGTGTACACTAAGTGTCGATCCCACTCCCACAGACCATCCATCATATCCAGCTCCTTTTGAGTTTTTCTAGATGAGGGAGTCCCTCACCTCAACTCACGTTTACATTCTTATTCTACTCCATTTATTTTTGCTAAAACACCGGATGTCCTCCCCAGAACCAGCATTGTTCAATCCAAGTTAAATAATCTCAGTTTAAAATGTATATGATTTGAAGATAAGGGATTTTTTTTAAAGGTCTAAGCCCAAAAGTCAATCAAATTACAAGTTACAAAGGTAATTCATGTGTGTGTGTGTGTGTGTGTGTGTGTGTGTGTGTGTGTGTGTGTGTGTGTGTGTGGCAGAAAACCACAGCAGAGCTTTGGTTGACTGTTCACAGATATTTACATAACCTGCATACATCCGGATTCAAGCATAAATGCTAGAGTGTGGACCAGTGGACCGGACATTCTGCTCTGCAAAAACCAAAACCAAGACATTTGTCCAACAACCCTGAAGAGTTCACTGATCCTTTTATACGACTTTTCCTGCAGCAGCTGCTGTTGCTGTAAAACCTTGAGAGCACCTTTTTAAATGGCAAGCTATTATTTTACAGACAAAGTATAAAGGCCAGGCATAAGAAAATAAATCTGAAGAGAAAGATGTATTCGCATTCTGAAAAAAATGGAGAATGATAGATTATTATTTTTATTTCGCAAGTTGAGGAGAAAGTTGAAATTTCAAGATAAAGCTTGATTCTCACCATTTCAGCATTTCTCACCGATGTAAAAGGAAAAGGAAAAAAAAAAATCTACCTCCTTTTGTTTTTTCACAATAATGCAACTGCACCAACAAGTGCTCTGGAGCCAACAGGTTGAAGAAAGATCCTGCTGTGACTGAAAATCATTTTCATACAAGAATATTTACATTTTCACACCTTTGATGAAGTAAAACTACGACAGTCGATGTAAATTAATTTGCTGAACATGTCAAAAAAAGGAAGATGACATCGTTTGCTGCTGAAAATCCTTGACTGTCATGATTTTCATCCTCGTCTTCTGCCGTCAGGTGTTAAACTCACCACAGATCTGTTCACTGTCGCTGCAACTTTTCACTTCACCCCCAATAATCTCATCTATCAAATAATGAAGGTTTGTGCTTGTGCAGCTTAAACAAGCTCAGATTCTTATGTAAATATATGATTAAATCTGATATAGAGACAGATGTTCTATTTTTACTTCCACTTCCTTTCTCTTTGTCTCCTCAATTATTTTACTCATTTCCATGTGAGCAGGTGGTCTCTTCAGGGGATTCACGGCCCTGAGTGTTCATACTTCAAGTACTGTATTCTGTCATATCTGATTTGGTCGTGGTCCAACACTGTCCGTCTGCGTGAGGCTCGGGCCCCCACCTCCCATCGGGGGTCCCATCGGCTCTCGCTCAGTTAACAGGAAAGGGACCATTTTTAGCAGAACCACGTAGCTGTGGGATACGAGGAGTTGGTGGTGTGGCTGCGTACGTGCGTCTGTCGAAGATGTTAAGTGAAAAGACACTTTGCTTGACATCGCCAATGTCCGCCGGAGACAAAACTCTCCCCCTCCTCGCCAGTTTGGAAGTGGTTCTCAGGGCCTCCTGTCCTGACACCAACAAAGGACAAAGCTTAAGACCCACATAGGTGTTTGCCAGCTTGTGCAGACCCACTTCACCCTCGGCTGCCTCAAACTCTGTATAGAACACATTCCAGCGAGGGTGTCGGGTCAGTGCAGGCGCTGAAGGACACACAGCGGTTTGCAGGCTGCAGTAATTTGTTTAACCTCTGATTAGGCCCCAGGAATGTCAACTATGAGGAGACACTACAGGTCCCGACAGCATCGTTTGACACTTTGACAATCTGTCATTCCAGCGGGCGAGCGAGCGGGCGAGCAAAGCGAATCACCACTCGAGACAATGGCCACTCCAGCGACTGGGCAGAGAGGGAGGTCTAATCTTTGCACCATCTGGTTCGGTCTTGAAAAAAGGCGGAAGAGAGCTTGTCTCTCTATCTGTGTGATTTATCTTGTGTCTTTCTGCGCCAATAATCGTGCTTGTCATTACAGGAAGTGAAGTGCAGCATTTAAACAGGAAGATTTAAACTGACGTTAAAGATATTATCATCAAAAAGAGACGTTTTGAAGCTAGAGAATGTCGACGTAAAGAGAGATGTGACAAGGGGCCAAATTCTCGGAGCCCCGATTTGAAACTCGTGTCTATCGTCACATCAGTTTGGCTGAAAAAGTGCAGCCTGAACCCAGATTGAAAACATTAGTGCATCACATGCTCTTTTATTTAATCTAGCAACACAACACTGACCACATGTTACAAAAGATGTTTAAATAAATCTGCAAATCTAGAATTTAATGAGGTAAAAGCAGAGTTATCAAAGGCACATTTCTCCAGGGTTATTATCTTAACTCTTATGTTTTATGCTCAACTTCAAAACACCATTTGTACTTCTGGCAGAGTAAAAACAGAGAAATAAAAAGAAGAGCTTTCCTCGGGAAAGCTGATTTACATACACACATGTTAAATTATAGTATGCTAATAAACATGTCAATTGCAGTTATACAAGTTCCAGATACACTTTATCTTCTTGCCACATGTACCTTCAGTAAATACTCCACAGTAGAGTGTGTTGTTATAAGCTGGAAGTTATGAAATACAGTGTGTTTTCACACGGATCACTTGGTGGAATCATTATTTCATGGTTCATATCCAACTCCAGCTCCTCTTTCTTTTTTACAAGCTGCATTGATGAGAAACAGAAACTGGCTCCAGGACGACGATGTGTAATGTGACAGGGATGTCTGTGAAAAATTTTGAATGCAACTTGTCGCAATGATCTGATCCTTGTGTTGTGGTCAGAAGTTATAGGTGGTGTGTGTGTGTGTGTGTGTGTGTGCGACACCAGCTTAATATAAGCATTGTTGTGATTGTATCAGGGTCACGACATCATCATAACTCATATCTGTAGAGTTTTGAAAATACGCATCACTTGCAAATGTTTTTCTTCCCTGGACGCACACAGTTGTGGTTGTTAGATGTTACTAATAAAATTCCTCTGAATTAATGTCCTTGTTTTTCCTACTCAGTAGAGGTAAGGTGATCACGCAGTCTGATCCTTGGCAGGTACGAAATGTTTCTCAGCCAGTAACAAAAGCAAATTGATCCGGGTCCAGATTCTAATCCAATAATAACCTCACATCTCGAGCACTAAAAATAATCACGCTCCGTCGAGACAGCAAGTGTGTGACTGCCAGCAAACGCAGCAAGTGACCCTCATACTGTAACTGTTACCAACGGCACATCATCACTTGGATTTCAAGGTCACTTTAAAGCAACACCATGCAACTTTCTTACCCTTAAATAGAAGCTTCAGAATTAGTTTGATCGGACACTTACTTGGAATGAAGACAATAGTTTAATCATTGCAGTTTAAATTCTACCTCTCACCATTAATGCTTGTTCTTGTTCTGTGTAACTTTAGTGAGGGGATACGATCTCCTGTGAGAAGTGTGGATGTGACTGATAGTTGCAGCTTTAACTGTCAAAATCAGCTCCAGCAAGTTGAGTAACTGTAGATCAGTTTAAAAAGTCATTAAAAACCAGCGTTTATCTCAGATATTCAGCTGGGAAACTAAAATAACTACCAAATAAGAAGAATTCTAAACAGAGTTTAGTGTATTTGTTGCTCTTCTTGATCAGGAAGTCGAGGATCATGGGTAATATCCAACGTTGACTTGTGTTTCAGTTCAGCGAGTGGGATGACAGTCAACATATTAATAATGTTTTTTTCTCTGCATGAAAACCACTCAATCTTGTGTCACTTGAACATATTTGAACTTTAAAGTCTGGTTGAAATTGTAAATTTACCATTTAGACCATCTGAAGTAGTTTACCACATGATCCAGCAGAGGGCACTCACTGTCAGCGTGACCTGTTGCTTGCCCACCTTACATAAGCTTGTATGTTGCGTTTGTTTTGCTACAAAAATGGAGGATGCTAGCAAGTCAAGCTGTCCTACACCAAGAATTACGACACAGATGCGTTGGAGAAGCGGCACACGGAAGTGTTTTGGGTTCTACAATGTAATCGGCAAAGTAACGACTGTTTGTCGTCTTTGTGCCACGCAACAATCCTAACATTCAAAGATACGACAAATCTGCAGGCTCATGTGTTAGCATCAGCGGAGGAGGCACCACAGATGAGCAGAGCAACGCTAAAACCTATTCTTACTTGTCTTTTAAAAAAGTGACAGCCTGCAGGAGGCGCTGTTCAGTAAAAGTTACGTAATTGAGCGCGTGTTTCATACATGATGCAAATAGCCGATCAGCGTACTGCACAGAGCCAAAGACAATTTGAACTCACTTTGGATACTGTGGACAATTGGAATAACAAAAATAATACAACATAACACAGTCACAACATTTATGGGCTGTTTTCTGTGATTAACAGTTTGATAAAAAAAAAAAGAAGCCACGTCTCTCATTAGTCTCTTTAAAGTGTTTCAGAAATATTCTGTCCCGCAGTTTAAGAGCCACTGCTGCTCTGTTGTAGCTGCTTTTCATTCAGGAGAGTCCAGTCCTCCACATTGTTACGACACAGGTTCCCCCAGGTAAACGGAAGAATTGTGGTTTGACATCCTGCTTCAAGCTGATTGTGACCTCTGCTTAAAATGTGCACGAATCCCGGGTTTGAGCTAACAAGCTTCAAAACCTTTGTCCTTCTCAAGAGCGTGAATCTGTTTTGGAGGAGAAATCAGTTCTGACGAATCATATCTCGCTCTGTCCTCCTCGTGGCAGTTCAACGAGGGGAAAGGTTACGAGGCAACAGTAGCACAGCAACACCAGCTGCTCGGGGGGGGGGTGGGGGACCAAGTTGAATATAAGATTTATAGGGTGACTCCCATGGCTGGCAAAATGAGATGAGACAAGAGGATAAAATAGGAAGCGTCCCTTTAATGTTCTACGTGGACGTTAAAAGTTCACGAATTCAAAAGACTACGAGAAGTCCAGTGGGCGGATCATCATGGCCGTGGCTCGTAGCGAGTAGCTGGGGCCCTTGAAGTAGTGCCACTTGATACCGTTCAGCTTCCCTATGTGTTGCCCTTGGGTGAAGTACATGCCGTTAAGGTTGGACGGGCCGCAGGCGTCAAACCACCAACCTGAGGAGACAACACAGTTTTACAATTAAAACACTGAATTCAGATTAATGAGATGTTTTAGGATTGAAATAAAAACGTGTGTTCGAACCTGCAAAGCACTGACGCTTGATAACAGAACGAACAAGCCTTTGGGGAGAATTCCTGATCTGTCAAGGTGTTGATAAAGTCACCTCCATCATAAATCTTGTCCTTGGATAAGGTTGAAATTTTCCACCTGCCTCTCCCACTGGGACATGGCAGCGTTTCAGACACCACTGCACTGCTATCTGCTCAATGTGTTACTGTCAAAGGGTTCACTAGCATGCCAGTACCTGTTGCTGAACACGTCCCGCACCTCTTTCTATTTCAGGCAAAGTGCACGTGTGTTCGCTGCAGTGGGAGATCAGGGAGGAAAACAGCTTTGGAAACTTTTTCTATTCCCAAACTACACCGGTTATTTTAGAGATAAGATAGATAAGTCTGGATTTAACTTCTATATTATATCGCAGGATGAATACAAGGTGACATACGTGTAGAAGATGAAAATGTCAACTCGGAAAAGACAAGATTAGAGAGATTTTGGCGAAAAGAGCTGACAAACATTTTGTTTTCCTCAGTGAAATTTAAAACTGTTCTACCTCCTGTTGCTCTACAGGCACCATCCCTCGCCTGAATGTCTCTGGACATTCTCCTTTTTTGTGAATGCATCTGACCACAAAATGTCCAGATCCAACGATCCTGACATTTTAAGTTTACAGCTTCAGTCGACTCTCTCTCTCTCTCTCTTCTACCAGCTGCCTTAGATCATCAAGGCTTAAATTGTTAAAATGGTCAACAGTTGAAAAATAGGTGTAAAGACAGTCAATTACATTTCAAATGACACAGACACTTGGAAATTAAATCTATTCCATCCTATTAATCTGTCAATAAAGTTTTTTTTTTTTTTAAACACCCTCGCTGATACAGTCAGATATAGAACATACAGTATGTGAGCTATGGCATGTGTCAGTCACTGGGAGCTTCTCTTCCCTCCCAGACCTGAATACCACTGTGGACGACAGCGTGACATTTAATGCAGCGTGACCTATCAGTGATCGGGGCCAACGTGCTGCCCTTGTTGCTGGTGTGGATCACACAGATATAAATAAATCAAATGCTGCGTCATCATAAAACACATTCACAATCAAAAGAGCACAGCAGAAACTGGTTCAGAGAAAAATAATGTCCAGCCACAGCAGGCAGCTGTTTTCAGTAGGTACAGTTCCAGTCTACATACTAAGTTGAGTTCGCTGGTATTCATCATCTAAAGGTATCGCTCTCAAGAGATGGCGGTGAACAAAGCAGAGCTCAAAGTTAGAACGATCTTTGATTATTTTTTTGTTCAACCTGCAACCCGTTTATTAATTATGTTGAGATTTGTCTATTTCCTCTGCAGCCCTAAGGCAGAAAACAGCGAGTACCTCCTTGCTTGCCATCCCCTGCTTGTTGGAAAAGCATGACCACATAAATGCCTTCACACGCATAAACATTCATTGTGCACAGCAGCAATCCTTTAGAATTTATGACCAGTGTCCTCCCTGTTTCCAGGACAGAGGTTTTTACTGTCTTGTACTGTCTTCTTTCAAAAGAAGAAAAAAGACAGAGGGATCCCCCTCCCTCCATACCTCCTGCAGTCAGTGGTTTATTCCTACTGTATGTCCCGGTGCTGAGGAAATATATACATCATATATGTGTCCACATGATATCCTCCTCTGTAACGCAGCATGCTGGGCATGTCCTCATAAATGTAGTATAGAGGTATTTCCCTCTTGTATTTCTCAGACACTTACATCATTTAAAGTCAGCCCTGCTCTTATAAATGCAGGATATAAATCAAATGATAAACTGTGTATACAATAGCTATCGCTGCTGGGTTCGGACCAGCCTTGACTCAGGCTACATGTTGTCATGCTTCTCCTCTGCGGCTGGCTGCAGGCAGGCCATGAATCAAGGGGAGTGTTGATTAGCGATCAGATGCCAGTTCCCTTTAACCCAGTGCGTTCGCGATGACCTCAGAGGTAATGCTGATCCTAAATCTGCTTTTAGAAATGCTTGATTTGTACCAGGTCAGGACTCCGCAGCGGTCGAGCTGCCATGAGGTGACAGCGAGGGTCACAGGGTTCCACTTACACAGCAGGAGAAGCAGAGTCAGTTTAAATCGCCCTGACACTTGGTGCCGCGCCCAGGGATCTTTTATAATGTGCTCGTTTCACAGTGCAACTGCGGATGGAGATGCAGAGTGCAGCCTAATAGGTGCAGATAGATGTGTAAGTGGTCACGTTAGCCCCACTGGTTATGATCATAATGACCTGAGGTAATGACGGTGAACACGGTGGAGTTGCTCATAAAATCTGTGAAAAGCTGCTTTTGGACAGGCCGATGAAATGTTTATATGTCAGAGTTGTTTTCTTATGAAAGACTTTGTATAGAATTTGGAGCCTTTTCTTGTTTTAAACATTGCTAATAGCATCGTACTGTAGTTAGCAGGTTTAATATTACTGCTGAGGTATGTGGGATGTGGCGATTGTTAAATAATAAGTTAGAAGGGGTAAGAAACTTGAAGACTAGTCATTTGTATAAGTCGTAGACTGTATATAAAGGTATATAAAGATGGACCATGTGTCTCCATTTCCTCCTGCTTTCCAGAAATGAACCCAAAAAAACGCTTGTTTTTTATAAAATCAAGTAACTAATTAGTTTTTAAATGACTTTTTAAATTAGAGGCTAACACACAAACACAGAGGTTGTAAAACAATTAGTATAACAGGTCTTCTGCTGTGCCTTGAATGTATGATTATCACTACACACTGTTTGCTTCACTTACCTCCAGTGAGCATGAGGGCGCACTTGCACAGGCAGTTGTCATTGTCCATGTCCTTGGTGCTGAAGTCTGCTCCGTGGATTACTAGACTGCTCTGTCTGCCCGCAGTCCCACTGTGGCTTTTCAGGAACAGCCTGAGAGACATCAGGAGGAAGCAGAGGAGCAGAGTGAGGACATGAAAACACATCAGGGGGAGGAAAGGTGGTGGTGAGAGGGAGGAGGAGTATGGCGGGGTGAGCAATAAAGAACAAGAAGACATAACATGGGGCGAGAGAAACGTCTCCTGGGAGATATTTATATTTTGTTGTGATTGAGTACATGTAGAGCACCTGGAACAACATTAACCGGGAAGGAGATGATAAAATAAAGAAAAGAGAGAGCGGGCTTATGAAAGAGTTACAGATGGAAGAGAGCACGTAGCGTGAGGAATGTCTGGGAATCACATTTCCATCTGCAGCGCCACAGAATGTGCATTTACACAATGACAACAGACTAAATCATTTAATACCAACATATAACAGCTCAGCGCAGTTAAAAGAGCAATAAGCAGCCTGTTCAACTCATCGTCTGTACGTGGCTGCAGAGGTTTGGCGTGTGCTCTCAGCGGGGCGAGATAGATAGATAGATAGATAGATAGATAGATAGATAGATAGATAGATAGATAGATAGATACTTTAGTGAAGTTAAAAAGAATGAGGTCTTTGGATTGCTAGGAAATTTAAATATATTTTGTTGATGCAAATCCGAGATCGTATTGATATTATAATCAAGTCAAGTCAGCTGCCGAGAAGGATCAAGTGTTAGTTATCCATTTCATGTAAATGGAAGCAAAATCTTTTTCTTCATTGTGTAAATTATTAAAAGACACATCTCGTCTGCCCAGCTGATAATGAGAAGTAAGTCCCAGACTGAATTCCTTCACACACAAGATGAAAAAAAAACACAAAATGAATATGGATCTAGGAGGCAGGTTTCTCTGGTGTGTGTCCCACAGTGAACTCACTGAGAACTGCTGCCTGCAGATCTGACAACATCCCACCGACAGCTCTATCATTACCAGCAGGACACGCCTTCCCCCCGTCCTGCCACAGCATATGGTCGCTCTATCTTTCCTTTGTTTCTCTCACGCTCGCTCAGCTTTACTTTTCCTTCCAACAGAAGAGCTCGCACATCCAAAGCACAGTGCTGCAGCGCTGTGCCAATGAGGTTTTCCTCATTAAATACAGCTCATTCTCAAAGAAAGTAATTTCCTGAGTACGTTTCTCAACAACAGGGGAGCATGGGTGTGTCGTGAACCTTGCACCCAGTTTGGCTTTGCCGATGAGAAAGTAACAAATAAAAAAATAAAAAAACCTGTATTTTGTGTTTCAGATGATTTCAAACATTCCATATGCTCGTCCAACCTCCACGCTTTGTGAAGCTTGTAGCCGTGAGCCATCAGGTTGAACATCTCAAAGAGAGAGACAGCAGACTCCCCAGGAAAGAGTCATTTAACGTGAAAGACTCCTGTATTTGGACAGCTGTGTAAATGGCGGGATTTAAGCAGCAGACTAAAAATTTGGGACTGCAGGGTTTCAGTGGGGAATTCACTGAGCCACTAAATGCGTATGTGTAATCCTACGTCGTACGGGTGAGTCATGTGTTTAATCAGTGGCACCAAGTGACCAGTGGACATGTCAAGTTTGGATAAGGACCTGTGAGTATATCGTTATAGGCACTTGTGTGCACACTGGGAACAGTATGCATCATCACATGCACACGCACGTACTACCCGGTTTCTACTGTGCAGCAGATGTCTCCTGGGATACTTTGCAGATCAGAGTGAAGTCACATCCCAACACATCACCTCACTTATGGGCAGCATGACTTCTATCAGCTAATTCCCGATTTTGAGGAATAAAACACGTCAAATGATGAGGTCTGCTCCTGCTCTGATAAAGACCAGACCTTGGTGTATGTTTACTCTCCGTTCTCCAAAGCTCTTAAGATCACTGCTGTGCTGACGAATCGCCAAGGCACATCAGCACGGGGGATTTTCAGCATGACACTTCGACAGGCCGCTCTAAATAGTCCAAGGCTGCGATGAGCGGCTTATTTAGCAGACCAACTATCCCCCCACCAAACTGACATCTGTGTTTTTTTTCTATTCCCGTCAGAGTACATTATAAGCTCTTCAATGAGAAGTGGGGTTATCTGAAGATGGGCCAAGTAATGAGGTCAGGAGAAAGAAGATTTTTCCTGAGAACTTATTGGAAGAATGAAAGAAGTCCAAAAAGTCATGTTACAGAAATGTATCAGACATACGTTTGATCCGCCAGGTCAGGAACTCCACAGGAAACTGATTGTTCCTGTTAGAGCAACTTAGTAATGTCATTGGTCACGGCTCATTAACAACCAAAATATTGAGCTGTGTGCAGAATAATTCGGCTTTATTCAGCGATACCTCTGGGGAAGGACGTTGGTGTCACGTCATCTCACTCTAACATCCAGCAGGTGTGTTTGCGATCTTTTAACATGTTTAGAAAGTCGAAGTAGCAACAATGCACGTCACCGTTAAACATGTCAACTTTTCCACTTTCCGTCATTCTGTTGTTTTTGTTAAATTTCCTTAAATTTTCTTTGAGCTAAAACTTCTGCACATCACCAGTCAACATTTATGTTTATGGTACTAGTCAGTAAACTAGCTAGTAAAACAGTTCTTTGTTAGCTAGTATAACCTCAGGTTTATGCTCTGGAGTGTTACAGCAGCAAACTGTGTACGTGGGGAGTCGGCAGTGGGGTCAGGTGAGGAATCAGATTCCTGGGATGCGTTTATCTGAGACTATTTCCAAGTGCAACTAGTTAGGTACGCTTATTAACGTCAGATCTCTCACTCAATCTTAAAAGCATGGTCATTAAACATCAGTCAAACATTTATAAACAGTGTTGCTCCATCAAAGGATATCTCAGTTTGACTTTGTTCCATTGTTTAATTTTATTACATTTTTTTGAAATTTTACAACCTGTACCTCAATATGTTTAATATTACTTTTGGAGTGATTATACCTAAAAGGACATGATGCTTGGTGTGAACGATGAAACCTGAGTAAACAAAATTCCGCCTCAGCATGTGAAGCAACACACTTTGCACTGAAGTTGCGTGAACATTAAGAGAAAAGCTTCACAGTCCTTGAAGATATTCAACATGTGTCCGCTTCTGCTCACACAGATTTGTTGGATTACAGTTAAGCGGACTGGGACCAGTTCAGTGACACGCTGCTTGTTTCCAGTTTCTCTTTTATCCGTCTGTACAGAGTTCAAGAGATTCTTACAGGAATACACAGAAAATAAGGGAGTGAAAAATCTTTGTTGGAATGAAAGTGCTTGCAGCTCTTTCAACACTCTGACACTCGATGCTGAGCGAACTCGTGTTCTTTCATCTTCTCACATGAAGCCAACAGAGAGTCCGGCTCGCTCTCTCCACACCTGGCAGTCATTAGTCCGTTGAACTGCAGGCTGATTGGCCCATTGAGGAGGTTAATCACCCTGACCAATGGTTCGCTTCCTACTGCGAGGCCACAGAGGTGTCTGGCTGGCTGAGGCCTGCTTGGCTGCTCTCTAGCCACTGGGTGTGATGTAGCTCTGCTGAGACATACGTGCACAGATGCACGTATGAATTGACAGAACAATTGTTCATTCTCACTGCTTTCTGCGGATACGTCAGTGGTTTCCGTCAAAAAGTATGAAGGCAAAGCTCTATAGATGAAAGGACTTTACTTAGCACCTTACTGAGCTAACAGCTGGAAATCTGTTGTGTTTACGTCAAGAGTTTCCCACTTATTAGTATTTTCCACGGCTTCCCTTTGTATCGTAAGTCTTCATCAGAGTTCAGCAGCTTATTCCACCTATTTAATTTATATAAGTCAACAGATCTTTCTCCACGGCAAAAGAGCAAACTCCATCATGATGAAGATAGTGATGTGGATATGGTTGAAAGCTCTGGTAACAACTGCTAGATCAGTTATTATGATAAGAAGTTTTTTTTTTAATTTGACCGCACACTCAACTTTCCAAACTTAACTTTGAATACAGGTAAACTTTAAAAACAAAAGTCATTATTTTTTTAGATGTAGCTCTGATGCCTTATCTCTTTGTATTTGGAAACTGTGGAACCTGAAGCTTTCATGGACGAGGTTCAAGTAGACATAACTTGAAATATCTAAGATTATCTCAGTGTGAGTCTTGGAAGAGAGAGAGAGGTCACCGCGTTTTGGATCTAAAATCTCTGCCAATTTTTTTCCTAAATCCCCACATGAAAAACATCTAAACTAGAGGTATCTGATTCCACGGGGAACTCGGGGCCATTACTGCGCACTATGGAGAAATCACTGCATTTAAGAAGTTGGCTGGGTGAACAAGGAAGGATATTGTAAGTCTTTTGTTCCAGCTAATAGACTTTGAATATAACGTAGAAAACTTTTCTCCCTACAAAGCTCAACTTGTGTCTGTGCATATATTCAACTGAACGAGTGTTTCTGTTGTAGAACATTTTGGAAATGGATGTTGTGTCAGGTGCCCAGGGTACTTCACTGCATCTTCACAGCCACATTAGCATTTTGAAATGTGTTAAATGCACGCAGGCGTTTTGTGAAACACACTGAAAATGAAAATGGTATATAAAACTGAAACACACAGACATGAACATGCTGAGGGAATCTGAAGTTTAGCAAATAATTATTATAATTAAAAAAAAAAATATATGTACTGTGGCGTAATTATGACTTTTTATGTGTTAGCTTTATCTGGCAGTTTAAATGGGTCTAAAGTCGAGTTATTTATTGGAAGTAACCTGGTGTTTGTCGTCAGTACCGTTTTACGATAATGATGAGTTTAAAAAATGACTATCAAATACATCTTTATGCAGATGATACTGTTTTGTACTTGATATTTGTTCAGTTAGTCATACAGAAAACTTCCCCTTTTACTGGCACTCTTATCAGGACTTTCATCATTATTCATTTTATTTAGAATTGGTTTTATGATTAAAAAAGCCCCCAAACAATCATCATGGAAAAACTTACAAAACCTCCTCTGTGTCTTCAAGACCTTTCTCAACAGCAGAACAATGGTTTCCTAACACACCATTGTGTAGCATTCAGGTCAGTTTGTGGCTCCATCTTTTTTTGTTGTTGTATTCATTTTGTGTAACATGCAATTTTCCTTTCTGACTCAACTGTTGTACTTTTTTTATTCTTATGTATTTCATAGCTTTTGTGTTACTAAGCTATTTTATTTTGCTTTTGGGGAAACTACCTCAAACACACACAAACACACACACACACACACACACACACACACACACACTCTTATTTAAAGTGATATTTTGCACAAAGTCTCAAAGCAAAGAATCTTTGACAAATGAGGGTGATTAGCTGAATGTGTTAATCAGATGGCCAATGTTGCAACAATATTTGCAGGTCATTGAATAATATTTGATTTTAATATTTTCTTTTCTGCTACCCATGCTGTTTCACAGAAACCACATTATCTGTGATGATGGGGAACAGTAACCCCTGCAATTATGGCGACAAGCTAATTTCACAACATTGTGAGCTTGTGGTTCAGTGGGAACTCTGCAGCCCTGGTCAAACCAAACTTATCCCACAAAGTGCTGCTAAAAGGATTTGTACGTCCACATTAAAGTAGCATTACTGATCTCAGCTTACACTCTGCAGAAACTGTTCGTGTAGTTTTTATATCTTTGCTTTTAATTATTGATTTCTTTTATTTCTTGTATTGATGCAGCTCTCTTTGATCTACACCAGTTGTTATGCTTTACATCTACATTTCGACTTCTGCACTGCAGAATAAATGTCCACATCTCTCAGCCAGAGGTGCATAATATTTATCCATTTAATTTTAATGTAAAATTGTGAAAGATGGCCATCAGTGGTTTTAACAAAGCCCACACTGAGGTTCACTGTACAGTCCAAAACCCAAGGCTATTGCATTCACTATTATTGAGCTACCAGCATTCAGTTTAGAGAAAGCTGATCCACCTTACAAACTGTTTTATTCAACCAACTTTGATCTGCATTGATAATAATGTGGTCGATACAGTAAATAATGGAATAAAGCAGTAGACCTAATTCCTTTTTTTGTTTTTAGAATGATAAAATTCATTTTCGGTAAAACCTTGGAGCACTTAAATTTATCAGTGATGGACTGCGTGGGCTCAGCTGTGTTAACAAGCTGTTATCAGTTGTCATCTTATCTTATGATTCATGGAATAAACAGTGGGATTTCCTTCCTGAAAAAGACAAGCACAAGATCGAAGGGTATTAACTGAGAAAAAATATTCTGTGTATGTGTGTACGCATCTTTCTATGGTTCTTAGAACTCATTTTGGTACAAAAACATTGCTGAGAGAACACTTTGGCTTCCTCACAACTTCAAATGGCATTTGATGTGCTTGTGTGTGTGTGTGTGTGAGTGTGATAGTGAGAGAGAGAGCACGAGGAAGACTGACTACACCATATGAAGTCTTTGTAAATCATTGCCTGACTCGTGCTGACGTGGACAGTATTCCAGTAAACCACTACGGACTAGAAAAAAACAACAACCCAAAACCGACTCAAAGACAAGTCGTATCACTTCCAACGACCTCTTGTGTTTCAAAGCAACAAATGCAATCTGAAGAAAACATGTCACTGATTGTTTGACATTTAAATGGAGGGAGGTGCCAAAGCAGACAGAGCAGAGTGTGGCAGCGAGGGTTAGTTTGGGGCCAGGCCATGTGGTTTGTTTTGGCCAGTGTTTCAGAGGAGCAATGTGTGATTATCATACCGCAGCTATTTTTCAAGAACAAATCTATTTACAGAGATCAGAATGTCGATTGGGCTCTTTGATGGAATGAGCCTGCATCCGAAACGGGCTGGAACGGCCGGGGATGCCCTTTGCTTACTTCAGCAGGACCAAAATAATAATAATTTGCCTAAACCAAAAAAGCTATAGGCTAAAATGTGGGATTTTGAAAGTATCTGTGAAGCACAGGCAGGATTATCATGAAGCAAATATGAACGGGTGAGTGTGTGAAAGAGAATCTGTCAAATTTTTAAAAAGGAAATGGGTATATGGCCTATATATGTGCTACATTGAGAAGTCGGTGCCTGCGCAGTCAGAGCAGAGCAAGAAATAAAAACTAAAGGTAACGACAGCTGGACTTAGATTCGATCTTTACACTGTGGTCACAAAAAACCTCAACTTTGCAAGAAATTCAAAACACAAAAACATTTCTTCTCTTCCGCTTGATTGAAATCTATTCCTCCGGTCCTCAGAGAAAACCCACACAGCCCACTCCAGGTACAAATTCCTCAAGATGGAAATCTCATAAAGTGAGACCTCTGTCATCACGAGACAATTCTCAAAATTAGACATGGCAACAAGCTTAATGTTGCCTGACGTCGGGAAACCCTTGAAACCTGTGTTCTTTTCTGTAGCACTGGTGCAAGGAATGAAAGGATCGAGGCAGAAGGCTTTTAAGCTACGGAACAACGTCCCTTATTTCGTCATTCCAAGACGTTTCGCAACTAAAGGGACCTCTTATCAGACGGAGCTAACCATCCAGTGAAAACTGCAGAATTGGAGATGTCAGAGCGTCTCGTCTGAAGCCAGCTATTGCTTGGAACTGTGTGGAATTTGCAGTAGTTTTCCACATCTGAGAGGGCCAAGCATCTGCCATAGTTTGAGGGCTGTTATCATTAACCCCCTGAAAAGAAAACAGAAACCTTCGCCCCCGCAATACACAGGGACAAAGCGTCAATCAGTGGAAAGTCTGCAACGACAAGGATACATTTGGATTGGAAAGAATTCACAATGAGAAAAGTCTCACCACAGGCTCGCATAACTGAATTTAAAGGAGTGAAGTGCTTTGAATGAATGAATCAATCAACATTTTGTCCTCCCATTGTACTACAGCATAAAGGCTTATGTTTCATTCACACTTAACATAAATTGTTCCTATTTTCCATTTTCTACTTACAGTGATTCTGTGTGCAGGCTGCACAGACACTGTGTAAAAGTCACACCAGCAAATGTGTGACGTTATGCTTGTAAACTACAGCAGTGCAAACAACCACATGCTAACACGTCCATAATGAAACGTACTGGTGTTTGAGAGTCAAAATGTTAAGCATGTTGTCGTTAGCATTGCTGTAGCCTGCATAAACGTACCTTGACTCATTTGCTAATGGGGCCAGCATAGACTCAAACACGATGTCTGTGCAGTCTGCGGTGAAAATCATTCAATATGGAAAATGGAGAATAGGAATAAACATGTGCATTGAGTAGCAGTTACACACACATAACGTGAAGCTGTGTTTATATAGGCTACCGCAGTGTGAATGCCAACTTGCAAACAAGGCCCCAAGAGATTTCACGATTATTTGTTTTGCACGTATAAACCAAAGCACTGGATGAATTAAATTGGTTGTATAAGTGGTTGTACCAAAAGGGATAGTCAGGGGATCCTCACAGTTATTAGCATCCATCCTCTGGAGACCATGAATGTCTTAACTCAAAGTTATGGCAATTGATCCAGTAGTTGTTGAGATATATTTCATCCAGATGAAAGTGAAGTGAAGAAACAGACAGACCGACATTTCCTCCGGTGGGGCCATGATGTGGCTAAAAATTATTTGTTCAGCTATTTTCAGATTCCTTTATTTTTCAGCCTGTATTGCATTAACACGTGCTGCACTTCACCTCATACCACCAATGGATTCTACAAAAACACATCCAGTCCCCTGAATGTTTTTGAGTTTCCCAGCTACGATGAAATCCTGTAATGAACACAGACAATTGTTTTTTTTTTTTCATTTTTCTGTGTGTTCCTTGGCCTTAAAAAAACCTATTACTCTTACTCTTTGGCTGCTTGTAGCAACGTGAACAGTTTTACCTGTAGTTTTGTTTCTCGCTGCCAATTTGGAAGCGATCATACAGAGAGAAGGCCTGGTGTCCATCCCAGTCTGTCAGCTCCACACGAAGAGCATACTGCCGCTGACTGGTCAACTGGTAAACATATTCATTCCCCAGCCAGTGCTCCGCAGACAGGCTCCCAAAACCCTGCAGAGACAGAAGAGAAAACACAGTAATCAGCATGGACATACCATTCAAATTTGTGTTTTTGTAAATCGTAAACTAGAGATTATCTGTCACTATCTCTTCTCATTTTCCCAGAATGATAAAATCTCAACACTAGAGGATTGTGGAATGAGTTATTGTTTTTCCAATCAGAAATAAGATCAGAACAAACAGATCATTTCTGAAAATAAATAATGTGGCTGTTTAGAAATGTTTAGCATCCTATCGTTCTTCTTCTTAGCGTTCAGGTTTTTTTTTTAAACACGCTTTATCCATCACGTGTATCTATCCGTAAAAGTGTGTAAATTGGTACCAGCTGTAATAGACGCACACCTTTTTCCATCTCTGCCAAGTCACACATGTTAAACTTATTATTACCTAAAGACGTCTTTCCCAAAATATACAGCGCGAAGGGACACTACTTCAAACAACTGCAAAAGTCGGTATTTGATCACAGTGGCTGCCGGTCACAGGCAAAGTGCTTCTGACAGCAGCAGATTGCTGAGGGGAGTATCGCGAAGCGGGATGACATTACAGCTCTGACAGGACGGTCTGGGTCGCTCCATAAAAGCCGGAGAAGGAGAGAGGGTGAAGCGGCGAAGTCAGGGAGAAGTCTGTGTTTGTGTTGAGCGTGTGTGGTGATGAGGAATGGGAAGGAGGGAAAGTAAATATGGGGCATTCCTTGGGGCTGAGGCATGTCCTGCCGAGCGGGTGGAAGTGAAAGTAGCCGGGGCCCATAATAGCTTTCTATCCCCCTTTCTTTATTCTCCCCCTCTCTTTCTTTCTCTGCAATTGATCGCACTCCTGATGAGATGCTCCCTTCTGACTGGCTTTCAGCTCGGTCCAATGCCTCCTACCGCGATCGTGGTTTTTCTCAAGATCCCTGGCTGGAGAAAAGGCTCCGAGTCAAGCCCTGTTGTTGGTTTCCTGTTACATGGATCTGGTGCTTTGTGATTCTTCACATGCAAACCTGATCTACATCGATCAGCTCAGAAAAGATGAAGAGCTGCTTCATCATATTGAACCACTTTTTGTATAAAAATAAGTAATTGTCAGCATTGATCAGTGTCAATCTGATGCACGTACAAAGATAAACTATTAAATTACCATCAGCATTATTTTTAGCAACCTTTCAAATGTTTATTCAGTTCAGTATTTCAACAGTTTTACCCAAAACTAAACATTTCAATTTTCTAGTTTTCACAGTTTCAGTTGCTACACGTGATGTTTGTGTGTTGAGCGTCTTAGGTTGATGAGCAGCTCACTGGTTAACTGCACCTCTGGGGCTCCCATAGAGGAATGTTATTCTCATTACAGAGAAGACTCGTGCAGGGCCTTTGCCTGTTTGATGCCCGGTCCAGAGACTTTGCAAAACAAACTGTTTTGTCTGTTTGGCTCTCTCGTCCACACACAAAGGTTCTGTTTGTCCATGTTTACATGTAATCAGAGCCTTTGGAGACATCTTAGGACATCACAGCTACTTCACACATGTCCACTGTTGGTTTGTGGAATAAGAATGTGCGACTACGTGCCATTTCTTTTTTACTTGGGTTAACACGGCAAGGTTTAATTACAAGCTTTAGCATCACTGCACAAGATTACTGACATTCTGCCTTGCCCAATTTTACTTGGACCACAGTGTTCTCTGGTATATGATGGATGGTTGATTTGTTATTTTTTGTGTTCTCCTCTCGATGAAGATGTTTTCTAAAACAGTGGGGAAAATATCTGTTTCCATGTGTTTGGCCTGTGGTGTTGCTCGTTGCAGCTTTCTTGAACAAAAGTGACTTGCAGTGATTGAACGAGTAAATAGCGGCTGCGGACTGAATGAGGACAAGCCTGACTCCCTCTTCGGAGCGCTGAAGCTGTGCTCCCTGCTGCACGCAGGGCCGTTTGCTTCTTTGTAAGATGGGTGAAGCTCTAAGCCGGAGAATCAGTTGACGTTGGCGTTGACATGACCAATGACGTCCCTTAGTTTGATGAGTTCCTGCCCCTGCTGCTATAAAGCGCTGTTGGTCTGTTTATTCAAAATGTATCAATATTGAACACGTTCAAATTGCACCATTGCGTCTCCCTGGGCCCGACAGCAGCACACCTGCCAAGTGTGAAGTAAATGGGATGGACGGATTTTCAGAATAAACAAATTGCATAGATAAGAGATTCCTCACATTATACTCACATGAAAGATTGTGTTGTTGAACATAATCTCCCGTGAATTGCAGTCTCTTAGTAATGTAATTGCAAAGATCAGATATCACTTGAATACATGCACTACACCCCTGTTGCCAAAATACTCTCTGCGGTCCCATAAAGACACAGCATCTCAGCTTTTTACTGAAAAGTTTACAAATCCTCCCAGTACATTAAATCTGTGAGCATGAGCCTCAGCGGGACAGAGAGTGAGAAACTCCATAACACAATAAAAGACCATTGATCACATCCAGTCTTCTCAAGGAGACCGACGACCACATCAACCATGAGAACAGCAGTGGACTGTAAAAATCAGTTATGAGTGTCCCCTCATGTACTGTAAAGCACCTCACGCACTCTGTCCGTACACCTGTTTTAAAGCTAACTTATAGAAACTAACTTTTTCAGCCTCAAATGACCTTTAATTCTTCTCCTGTGTTCTGTTTTCTCTTTCATTAACTCCCTGCTTGTTTTTTTCCCCCTTCCAAACAATTAATCTTCCTCCTTCTACCCTAAAGCAGCGAGAGCCAGGTCAGTTTGACAATCTTTCCCTCCTGTTCCCAAATGTTGTTTAACAGCCGACGTCGACATTTCTTATCGAAATAAGAGCGTAATTACTTATGTAAGTGCATCACAGAGTTATTTGCTTTAATTGGGTTGACTGTGAACGTTTTTTGGCTTGTGTTGTGCCACAAACATGACGGTAAACGGTCCACCATGAGCAGCGGAGAGAGGGAAAATAATTAAACTGGAAACAGAGAGCATATTACATCCGAAAGAAGGCAAACACTTCATTCAACAATAAACCGAGGAAGGTAAACACAGGTGACTTACACGGCAAACACCAGCAGCGCAACTGCTAGTGATAATAACCCCAGTTTAACTTCTAAACTCAGCTTTGTTTAGGCTTAATGCAAAAACGCATATATGGTTATTTCTTGATGACAAACAGATGAAACACCAGGAAGCGGGATATAGAGACTAAACAAATGTGTGTGTTCTTTATTTCAGATTTAGGTAATAATTTCCTGTTGGACGAAAGTAAGAATAACAATATATCACTGAATCTCCGTCTGAGAAAAAGAAGCTGATCTCAGACACTGTAGACGATATTGCGAACACAATAACAACAAGGGAAGTATGACTGAGGAGAAATCACATCTGGCTGAAGCATTCCAAATGGTCTTCGGTGGATCCTGCCTCTGTTTTCAACACATTCAACTGCCAGATTTGTCATGATGCTCGAGGAGTGAAACAGGATGTTTTTCTTATTGCACAATTTCGTAATTTAGGCATAATGGATATAGATGAGTGTCTAGACACAGGGAGAGTGTCCTTGTCCATTTTTTGTCTTGACTCACCATCTTGTACTCCTTCCACGTCCTCTGGAAGTCCATGCTGCCGTCTTCTCTGCGCTGGATGACCGTCCATCCTCCGCCGGCTGTTTCCATGTTGCAATAAACCTACATGATTAAAAAGAGGAAGAAAGGAAAAGTGGAAAAAACACGTGTCAAGATAATGAAAAATGAAGAGGACCCATGGACTGTAAATAAAGATGGACGTCATGATGACGACATGAAGCAAAATCATGTTGATCGTCCCCTGGTTGCAGTACATCGTAAACTCCACCTCCTCCATATTAGTGGATGGGACATAGGTGACTCTAAAAAGTCAAAATACAGTAAGTTTGTTTTAATTAGTCATATGATGCTTTAAAATGAGGTAAAACATCATGATTGACAGCTGAGACGGACTCCCAACCGGTCGAGTGAGTGTATCGGCTGGAACTTGACCCCACACCACGATCACTTCTGCACAGACTCTGGCTCCAGTATGGCGGCACCCGTATAGGAGATATTTTGGCTTCATAAAGGAAAGGAGGTGGAGACGTGTCTTCCATCTTTATTTACAGTCCATCAGAAGATTTATAGGCTTTAAGATGTAATTTAACCACAAAGGTAATGGATTCAATATCTAACATGTCTCTCTAGCATTAAGGACAATGAAGGGTCATTTGAAATAATTATTTGGGTTCGGACGCTCCCTTTTCCCAGCCGTCATCATGAATCATCTCTGGGAATGCAACGTATCTGTGTCCTCCTCAAACATAATCAGTGTCTCCTTATCCCTCACCGACTCCCCAGAGATGTTCCTCATCAGAGGGCTTTGTTTCTGCCGGATCAAAGTGGAGGTCCGGGCTGGACACATACCAGCAGACACCTGGGTATAACGTGGCCCTTAACCTTGGACCTCAGTGTGTGTAAGCTGATAAGGCAGGGCTGGTGCTCTATCTGCAGCGTTGCTCTTTGTTTTGAGGAGGAGACCCCAGGGTGGAGTGGAGAAGGTCTCTCACCTCACCCAGCGCACACAGCTGAACACACACTAACACAGCCTGGGTATAATTAAGGAAGTACCCCTGACAGAATCATTTTCCCCATGACTAGCTCATCATTCATGGTTTACACGCACACAAAAGAACACACACACACACACACAGCCACAAAAACTTCCACCTTTAACACCAATGTTTTCCCCGCAGTTAAGCGTAATTGCCTTTTTGCAAAATTTAAAAATGTTTCCCCTTCAGTCTTTTCATGCCTAAACCGAAAATCTGCATAAAAACAGGTGTACGGCTCCACATCTGCTCCAATAACCTCACCCCACCGCTCGACTCTCAAAGCTGCTGAGTGTATTTTAAGCTGTCAGTATTCCTGCAGCAGTTAGCAGCCATCGCTCACACTCATCAGTGGCTGATGTCCAACTCTGAAAAAACAACCCGCTGTGAAAGAGCTTCCCAGACGTGATGAAAAGACAGATATTCTCACATTACACTGGACACGTTTGGCTGCGAGACGCTACAGCTTCTCACCTTCCTGGTCTCCTGGGCATTGATCTGGATGGTGTAGATGCCGTTCTTATGGAAGCCGGCCAGGTAAAGGTCGGCACAGTCACGGAACTTCTTCTCTTCGTCCGCAACTTTTGTACTGTTAGGAACAACTGTGGGTGAAAATGGAATAACAAACACAGGTTTACTTTCTTTGTAGAATACGAAGACACAACATCAGAGCAACCAGTTGTTTAACACAAACGCAAATCAAACAACAACACTGGATGACAACTGGTTTGACTGGAAATTACGACTCTTAACTATTCTGTGGCGAACCATAGTGAATAGTTATGTTTAAAAAAGTTGTGTTTAAAGTAAAAGCAACTAAAACACTGCTACCCTTCATACAACCTGAAATCAAAGTTCTACGACATTCTGTGAAATCACATTCATATTCCACATCTGCGAGGTCTCACTTTGAATATCTCATATCCTCCAGATAAAGTCTGAAGGGTGACTGACTTATTAACAAGATAAGAACCGTTCATTGACTGAAAGATTTTTCTCTCTGAGACGAGGCCTCAGATTCTGACACCACCAGCTGCAGTCATTTCCATCTGTAGATAATTATGGCGGCGCGATTTTGAAACCAAGCAAAGGCGCTAAGGACAAAATGCTACGAGCTATGAATTTCAAGTTCCTGTTATAACAAGTGGTTTGTATTTATCTACGAAGCTCTTGTTGCGTCCTCTTTCTTCTGTCAAATGAAGGCTTACTCTCAGTTTTCACACCGTTGTTTTTATTATTGGAGTTGTGGAGGAGAAGAGGATGTCAGTGAGAAGTGAAAGGTGTCAGCGGTCCTCAGGCTGGGCTTTGATCGCTCCTCCTCATGCGGAGAACTTCCCGGTGGAAGCAGGGAGCTTATTTTGGGTGTTCTATCTGAGCATTTTGACAAAGTATTAAGTGTCAGCAACAAGAATCTCCTGCTGGGACAGGTTGACAGAGCAGGCCCTTGCACACCAGACTCTAATACAACAAAGGGTGGCCCTGTCAGGTGGTAATTTACCCCAAGCCGGCGAGCAGCAGGGGGCATTTCGGAGATAATCGTCAGAGGGGAACTTTCTGGTATTCAGCGTGGACAATTATTTCCCAATCGCCTTTGAGAGGAAGACTGTCTGCAGGGGGACTGGATGCTCCATTGTAGGAGCGGCTCCCTTGAACAGCTTGCTGCCCAGCTCTACAAATATTATTTATGTCCCAATATTTATTTACAGAAAAATATTTTGTGGTTCAGTGGGGACTCGTATTCAGGAGGGGGTTCATGTGAAAGGACCAGCAGGGCTCCGGTGTTTGCATAAATCAGTACCCTTGCCAAATGAACCAAAATACTTGAGCTAAGAGGAGTGAATAATGGAGCTGAATGGACATCACAGCCCCCATGTGACTATAATCAGTCTCTAAATACTGCTGTGGGTTGAAGTTATTCATACAAGCACCAATTAATTTCTCTGGTGTATTCATATATGAAGGATGCAAAGCACCACTGGTTCATTCCCACACTACACTTTATAACCATGATGCATGGTTTTAACTTGAAAGGATCATGGTTGTGTGAAAATGTCTGAGTAAGACGCATGAGTGAGTTCAAGTTATATGTGTTCAATAATAGACATTTCATTTCCTTTCATGTTCTGCTTTGCAAAGAACAGACACTGATGCAGAACTGTTCTCAGTTTTTTTAAACTTTTAATTAAACATTTAAACTATAAGTCACACTTCCTCAACACCTCTAAAGGCTGCACTTTTTTTTATCGCACATCATTCACACTCTGACAGAACAGGGTTCGGAATCTTGCCTGTGAACAAGTCAGCTTTTGGATTGTATGCTAAACTGCAGGAGCCAGGGATAGAGCCCCTGACCTGCATGTTAGCATAAAACCATCTCTACCCTCTTGAGCCAGTGCTCATGTAGCCCACTGGATTCTTTTTTTGTCTAAATCTAAATGTTGACTGTAAAACCTGTAAATATTTCAACTTTTCCCCTCAGTAACAGCTTATGCACAATTACTGTCATGGTTATTTTTAGGCGACTCTATGCACCTCATTACAGTTATGGAAAAATCTTGGGTAAACACTGAAAAAGTCAAAACTGAGTTATGCATGGAGTTTTTCAGTTTTGAGACAAAACCACAATCATTACCAAGTCTTTAAGTTGCCTCAGACCTGGCTTCTCGTCTGTGGACATACATACAAACCTCCGTCTTATGAGCTCTCTGCAAAATAAGAACATCCTGAATGTTCAAATCTTATAAAATAGTCTTGGCCTTTCTGTGAGAATGGAGATGAAAAGTCTCCGTCACTCAGGTGAAGAGAGATAACTCCACGTTTGTCATTTTATTCTCCTGGTCACTAAAGCATGAAAATAATGATGTGTTCAATAACCAAGTCACTTCAAGATCTAATCTGGATTTTGAAGTTATACTTTTCTCTTGAGCTGAGGCATTAAACACAGCTAATGTCATGATTTTGGCTTTGCATGAAGCCTTAAAATAATTAAACTCTCTCCGACTCCTGAGTAAGCAGCTGTTAAAGTGATGAATGCCATTCATTTAGTGGAAAAGTAGAACAATGTAAAACAAAATCATATTTAGCGGCCAGAAATTTTTACAGAGCGGTCCAAAGCTGAGGTCGATTACTGCTAATAGTGTTTGGCTCATTGCACCCTAATTAGGTTAAGGTAATGATTACAACCTAAACAATAGCTTCGCCGCTGCATCTGGCCACATCAAAAAAATATCTTCCCAAACCTCTGTTTGCACCGCAATGGTTGAAAGCACAGTGGAAACCTTCATGGATGGAGAAATGGGAAACAAAAAGTCAGTTTCTGGAGATTTAGTGTTAAAACTCTCTTTTCTAAGTATCTATCATGTTTCCCGAAAGCAAAGTCAAAGATGATTTGAGTCCATGCTTAAAAGGAAATGCCCAGGCTCAGTTTTCAAAACATAGTCTTGCGCAAGCAGACGCCACTCAGATGCATGAAATGCTAACCCTCTCCTCAAATGAAAACACTAATCCGTTTTTTAAATAAACAAACGCCCTCCCATGAATTCAGGAAAAAAAAGAGAGAGCTTTCCTGCCTCTGTGTTCTAAAGGCTATCGACAAAAACAGGGGTAGTGAGTCAGACGATGGCTGAGATCTACCTACTCCTTCACCCCCTTTGGACAAGGCCTCCCCCAGGAGCTGTAACAGTTTGACTTATTCGGGCAGGGGTGAGGAAAGGGGAGACCTCTGACCCGCACGCCCGCCTCAACGTTCAACACAGCCATGGAAGAGGAAAAGACCAACCACAGAGCAGCAGCGGTCACGTTCCATTTCTATCACCTCTCGTTAAGGCAACCACCAATTATGGAGCGATGTATGAGCTGAGGTACCCTGCTCCCCTGACCTGACTGTGGCAGACATGGTGGCAAAATAAAAGCTACACAAGTATAATTTAAAGTGAAATAAATCAAATTGAACACATTACAAAAGCAATGAAATGGAGACTTGTTGAATCGGGACTAACTTGAATGATACATCAGGACGGGTCAGACCAAAACGGTTTTAATAGACCTCTCGTAATTACTTATAACATACACAAATCCAGACTAAACAGACGGAGTGCGAGTATGAGTAAAGGCCACCCGTGACATCTACCGCACGGAACATTAAAATAACAAAAGGGAGCAGCATGGTGAATACAAGGCATGTGTTAATCATGTGCAGCAGTTATCCTTCTCGTGACTCCTGCGTCCCTTCATGCCCTTCCTGCTTCCTGTCTGATGGGAAACACCAAGACGCACTGTGGGGTCTTGAGGCATCTCTGCAGGAAATCTACAAATGGAAATGAGGTTGCAACCAATCCTCAAACATTCAAGTCAAATCTCCTGTGACCAATAGGATTTGAGGCCAGTGTCACGATGAAACGGGTTTCTTTTTTTTTTTTTAAAGGCTGAGATAGGGGTAAATGAGTTCACTGTGTTTGACCAGATATGAACGGATGCATTACTGTCGGGTCAAACGTTGAACCACGATATCCCTGCTCTGTTATTCAAGGGAGGACGAGACTCAGAGGAATAAAAATAAGCTTATTACTTCATGTTTGACATTTTAGTGAAGCTGTGTGCACGGTTCTTATTTAAGCGTGACAAGTGATTGTTGCAAGAAAACAGCGCCATGCTGGTTTATGAGAGGCACCATACCTCTTTAACAGGAGCACACTGGGTTACGATAAGGCTTTGTTTCTTTCTTCATGCTGCTCTAAACGATGCAGAATCTAATAGCCGGTGCATCCCTGTGTCTGGCAGTGTGGGGTTTGGTCATAGAACTGGTGTTTTCATGAGGATCATAAAACCAAAGACCGACCAGAGGAAGTAACAAGTTGAGTGTTGCCTTGCACAGCCAATCCACAAACTTTGCTTTACACACTGTGGTCTGGCAGAGGTCAATGAAGCATTTTTCTTGGATTGGAGCTATCGCTAGTAGGGGCCAACAAAATTTGGATGGGTCCAAACCAACTGACAGATGACTGACGTGTGCTCTCCTCCAATGAAACATAAACATAAACTCAACTGCATGAATCGAGCCAGTGGATTTTGAATGTTTCTAAATTTTGCTTCAGGAAAAATTACAAATCAAAAAATAAAAGTCATGCTAGCTGAGGCGGCACTTAGGAAAAACAGTGCACTGAGTTAAATGCTGACATGCTTACAGTGACATCGCCAACATGCTGATTCTTAGAGGGTATAAAATTAGCTATTGTTAAGTTATGGCATGGTGTCTGATTTTGTTTTTTAGAAAAAAACAATCACAAATCTCTACAAGCTGTACTGACGAAATAATGAGCTAAATGCTAACATCATGGTGTTTAGTTTGTTGAATGTTTACTGTGTGACTAATGGACTCAGTTAAAAACATGCTGCAATAAACAGTTACGCATTGTAAATGAACACAGAGTAACCTTGAGGTGAGAAATTGGCCTTTCAGTAGGTAAATCCTGCTCCTTGATTTATTGGCTCTTAGTTGAACGTCAAATCAAAGACTTGCTTGTTGTTGTCATCTTCTAAACCATTCATAGAATTTCAACGATTGGCTTCGAGCTGCTGGATCCACTGTCAGTGGCTCTGCCAGGCTATCAGACTTCTTCACCACCTCCAACATTCACAGACATTTCTAATATATTATGACTTTCTTCATCTCCATCCTCAGCACGATACAATTGCCAAGAAACCGCTATTGAGTAAGAGCATAGTTAAACTGCTGAAAAGTGTCCAAACCTCATTTCGACATGTAAGACTTTAATTCCATTTAGCTTACCTCCATCCTTATTGCAGAGGTTGAGCAGGTTGTGGACGGTATCCATCATCTCCTGCTGCTGTCTCTGCAGGGCGGTGCTGTTTCCCGTGGCGCGGCTCAGCTGGGTTTCTAGCTCCCTGATAACCCCGCTCTGCCTCCCCACCAAGGCCTGGAGGCTTCCCTTCTCCTGCTTCAGCGTCTCCAGCTCCTCGTGGTGTCGCGTCTCCATCTCTAACATCTTCTGCTCCATGAGGCTGGACGAAAGGAAAAAAAGGTCGCAATAGCTCTTTTGTTCTGATGACCACTGCAAGTAATTGCGGTTAAAATGTGGTGAAACACACTCAAGACAGAAATACAGATGCTGACGTCTAAAGGTTTGGTTGCTGTGTTCCCTGCAGAGTATAAACAAACCCTTCATCGTGCAGAACTTAGAGAAATCCCAGGTAAGTGAATAAGGACTTACACACAGTGTCTAAACTTTACCATTACATAATTTAAAGCCTGAAAGATGATATGAGCTGACATTAAATTCATTAACTAATCATATCTTTCCCATGATTATAGAGTTGGTAAAGGAAAAAGAAAATGTTAAAAATGGAATAACGTCATAATAACTCAAGCTTAAATAACTTTCCCTGAGAAATCTATCTGCACAAACCTCGAGAGAAACTTAAAAGTCGGAATCACCAGAAATTCTGCTTTCAATTGGTTCTCTATTTTTTCAAAGTGATTGCAAGGAGTCTCTATGGATGCTGTAACGAGAAATATGGACCAAACCCTTTTAAACATTTATTACAGTCCCACAGGACCAATCACTGTGAAGGACAAGCTTTGGAGACATGGAAGGAAATCCAAAAGGCAGATTTTAACTTCTTCATTTTGCAACAAATGCACAAAGGGCCAACTTGGAAAGCTAAGTCTCATGGATTTGAGACTGATTTACTAAACATCACAGACAATACCCGTCAATATCACATAGCTATTTATACGAGTGAAATTGTTTTGGAAAATTGATAATTTAAGTGGCAGTCAATGGAAGCTGGTAGCAAGATTTTGATTTCCCACAGAGAACAGCAGCAGTTAGAGTAGAGTACAAAAAATATAAAAGATACAACATCTGTTAATGCATCACCTTTATTTTCTGCATATTATCTTTGTCTAGTGTGCTATTTGCCTGATGTGTTGTCTGTTTACCTGTTCTTGTCATGCAGTTTGCTGATCTCATTGGTCTGGACCATTAACTCCTTCTCCAACTTATTAGTGGAAAGAGAATTTTCCAGCATCTGGATCTCGAGCCTCGACGTCTGATTCAGGACCTGCCATGAAAAGAAATGCACTCATGTAAAGAATACAAGAATAACAAAGATGATATTATGCTTACTATGTTAGCTGCAGTTTTAACTAATATCATACACATCTGCACACCAAACCCTGAGGAAACGCCGGAAAAAATTGAGCTATATTTAAGGTTTCTTTAGACACTGGAGGAAAAAACACGGCACACATATGAACCATCAACTTTGTTTTCTCTTTGTCAAGTGTTCACAAAACACATGGTAATACTTAGGGAGATACTAATCTCTGCTATGATTACCTTTTTTTAAACTTTGCAAACAGTTATCTTCTTAGTGCTTAAGCAAAAATGACTGACCACTAACTTTACAACTTTCCATCACCTCCTCCTACAACTCCTCCATATAATCACTAAAAGGAACCTTTGCCAAACAACTCAAAAGAGGGGATAGGCATTTATACACGATCGCTATTGACTTTGGCCGACTCTGTAACCTTTTGGGCCGGTTGAGTGTGGAATGACTGGGTTAATGGAGCGCTGGATGGATCCTCTTAGTGGTAGTGCTTGTGCATGAGAAAAAGAAAGTAAAGAGTGGGACAGAAGAACGTTTGTTGGACCCTGCATGTTCCAGAGTGTTTGATAAGGTGTTACCTGCGTCTCTACGTCAGTCAGCTTGCGTGTCTGTTCAGCTGTCTGAGAAAGGAGGTTCGTGCCCATTTCCAACATGGCTGCCGTGTGGTTGTGGACGGCGCTCTGCTGCAGCTGGGCCATCTCTGTCTTCATGCTCTCTTTAATGTAGTTTTCAATCTGCACACAAAGAAAACAATATTGCAGAAAATGGTGAGATTCGTATCAAGATTCCAGTCGATTAAAGGACACATTTCATCAAGAGCTAGATTTTTGAAACTATGCTGTGAAGGTCACTTATTGGAAAAGATTTCTGAAGATATCTGTAGAAAGGCACAAACATAAGTTTTCCATAATTTGAGTAGCAGTTAAGTGAAGAATGGGTTTAGTCATTACCAACACAGCAGATGAATGTGGTTAGAGGAGAGATGATCAGATTTTCCCTGAAGTTCACAAGACACAACTCTTTCATGCTTATCTCCAAACTAATGAGAAGATGGAGACGGAGGTCGAGGTTGGATGAGATTCTTATATGGATCAATTACATGGATCATTTGTGCAGTGAGCTTTGATATTTTTATTTCACTGTTTTTCCTCTCCACACTGAAGCTGTAGGTTCAAACTACCAAGTTCTATTTACTCTCTTCTCCTTTGTTTCCTTGAGTCTTCTGGTGGTTTACATCATCGCGTTACCTCGAGTGAACTTCAGAAAAAGAAGTGTTTTTGTGTGTACAACTTTACAAACTCATTGAATATAACTTGTTTGGATTTTAAATGCCCACTTGTTCATCTTCTGGCTTGCAGTCTGAAAATAGACTGAGATGATTCAACACTTGGTCAGTGGGAGAGAATCTCAACCACTTGATCAATAAAATATGTTTCCAGAGTTTGGCTTTGGCTCATCAACGGGCTGTAACAGCCATTTTTCTACAATGCATCAGCCAAGACAAATTCGTTTCAACACAACATTACGTTTGTTGGTGTCCTAAGCAACAGATCCCATTCTGTAGCTGAGGGATACACACACACACACACACACACACACACACACACACAGAAACTGGTCTGCACAGCACTCACTCGTACAGTGTATCAGATGTTAGAGAATGAGTGAAAATCCCTAAAGTTAAAAAGCTGATAGTGTAAATATTTAAAACAACTACCTGTTCTGATATTATGCGATACTAAGATGATACAATAGAAGCGTGGGTGAAGATTAGGTCATTTGTTTTGTAGCACTCTATAATCTTCCTCTAAACACTAGGTCCTCTCCTTGTATATTTGGCGTACTCAGGATAAATTTGTGTTTTTACTTTTAAACAAATAAGAGGTCGAGAGGAAACTGTGTTTTCACAAAATTCTGGGTTTGTTGTAAAGTCGGCACATCATTGTGCTAACAGAGAGTCTTCACAGGCCTGCGTTTGTGCAGGTTTATAAGGACTGACACTGTTGTTACACAGTGTGATTTTCTCAGTTAGGGAGTTCAGTAAATAGAAAAACATTTTTGTGTTGAGGTTTCAGCAGTAAATACAGCTGAACTGAAAACCAGGAGTGTTCATGTCGGGGTCAGGGCAGTTGTAGATGATCGATTTTATGTCCTGTTACGGTTTAATGATCATGAGCAGTAAATAACACAATACGGTAAGTGAAAACTTTCACAAAATATCTTATTTAATGTACGGTACTATGTGCACGAGTCGTTTTATAACTTTAAGTAACTGTTTCCCCTTGATTCCAAAACTGAGTTGACAGATGGCCAAAAAACACAGGCAACAGTAATACATGTAAAGTACAAGTTCACAGATCATTACTCCCTCATTCCCTAACTTGATATCTTAGTTCCTTTTACATATGTGTATGTATGCATCGGTATGAACTGCACTGGCACGCTGTCAGTATGAAAATGACCCTGTCAATATTCACTGTTCGTAGAAATCAGTTGGTAAAGTCTTAACTCATCTTTCTGCACGGTCAAGACAACATTGACATATGATTGAATTATTTGAATTTATCTTTGGTTTGCGAGTGGAAACGACAGAATATTTGACACAAGTCAGAGCGCTAGCTAATCATTTATGCGAATCGTACTTTGGGTTAAATTTACACAATTTGGTGAAGGGTTGGTAGAACGTACGGTTCTTTCAGGGCTTTCTGTCCAATGAACCTCCAAATCAGGTTTGATCTAACATTTAGATCAGTGACAACAGCACACTGAAAAACAATTTATGCTTTTAACTGGTTAAGGAACGATGTTAATGACAGAGGAATATTTCTGTCAATGTCTGTTGTCAAATATCAGATTCTAATAAGTCGAGCCTTAATTCACTTGCAGAGAACGAGGAGCATTTTTTCCTGCTTTTATTAATAATAGATGTATTTCAAACATTTCAATCAATCCAAAACTGATAGACAATGAAAGAGAATAGTGATAGATCACTTTGTTCTTAAAAGGAAACCACCGGTGATCAATGCAGGTCTGCCAAGTGATATTAACTTTAAAATGCAATATCCCTTCTTGAAAACTATATCAAAGTGAAATGAATTTTTTTAGAGCTACCCCTAACTGTGAACTACATGAGGCTAATTTAAGCGTCACTTTCCACATAACCTCCATTGGTCTGGCCTCAAGAATTGGAAAGAAAACCAGGCGTCTGGAAACCACAAAGCTCAAGTAATGATGGATTACTCTGTCTGATAATGAACAATAAAACATGAGTGTGGAAATAGCTTTCAGTCCATCTATCAATGTAAAAGCTCTGAGCTCTGTGGATGGTATAGGTTCCTTTTACACCTCATTGCTTTGAACACCTTACACGAGCAGCAGCTTTGCACCGCACTTCCCTCGTCTGCTGAGGTAATTGTCTCGACTGTTTGATGGGATTTGCACAGTGGGTGTCCCCTTGGGAGTGAAGGTGGTGAAGGGACAGATGGCTGAGGAAAACTTAAGCCCAGCTAGCGCTCCAGGGTTTGTCTCTGAGGGAATGTGGTTGACTCACGGCTGGATCCTGGTGGGTGTCATAAATGGAAAGTACCAAGGCGAAATAAGATTACACAAACACGTCCAATCATGTAAAATCACTACTTCAGAAGCTATAAAATAGCTCTGTGTGGGTGTTGGGGGTATTTAGAGGGTTTCTAATAGTGACTATAGCTAAATACTGTGCTTTCCCAGGCAGTGACTACGTGTAGAAACTGTAGTCAACAATGAAGGCTTCTATTGCGAGCACTGAAATCCAAATGTGTGTCATCTCTGAATGAGATCAGGGTGGTGAAATTAATTTGAGTGCATAATCAGAATGCAACAGTTGAACTGCTTAACCCTAATCCTTTCTTCAAGACATCACATTCTTCTGTCAGAAACTGATTCCCTTTAGAAGATATTGCAACTCAACCATTGCAATTAACTTCAACCTGGATCCAATTATTTCAATTCATGGAGCTGCTTTTTATTATTTTCATCAAGTGAAAAAAATCTAAACACCAATGAAATGACAAGCAGTGCTTTTCTCTAAATTCTTCCTAAAATAGGAATTTGACAAGAAACAGATTTTCAGACCAGAAAACTCGGCTTAAAGGCTTTACAGTTTGGTAGGCTTCTACATGGATCCCACCAACACAGGGTTAAATTTAAAAAAATGGAGGTCACCCATAACCCATATTAATAACCCTTATATGGCAATTTCGACCTAGAGTTAGCTGAGAATAGCCACTGTAAGCCACTGGTCATACTGGACCCAAAACGACTTCAGCTGTAAAACTACTGAGTGTATTAAACAGAGGGTTCTCTGTATTGCTTCTGAATTCAACTTTTCACTTGTTTAATAAACAATGTTTTAGTTTTTCTATCAAAAGTTACAGCTCAGTCCGTCGTCGAACATTTCGCCTACAAATAGAAAGGAATTCAAATGAAACACCACTTTCTTCAAAAATAAAAATAAATCATGTTTGTAGAGATTTATAAGAGACATTCCAGAAGATTGAACTAACCAATGTTCTGCTTTTAAAAACTACGACATCTAGCTTTTGGTTTCCAAAATCAGTGTCTGCTAAATGAGAGTTACATAAACACAAGTTAATGTTTCCCTCCGTGGAACGTTATACTGAGGAATAAAGGTTTTAAGTTGGTATGTTTGGCACAGCCTGGCTTCATGTGGACTGCTTGTGACTTTGCTAATGATGCTGCCTGTCATCTCCTCTATGGAAACCCATTAGTACTTTCACTGCACACCTATAATCCAGCATGTACAGACTGGTCCATGTAGACAGTTTATGAGGTTCAATTTGCTGCTAATCGCTATTCAAGCTGCTTTGGGCCTTCCAGGACATAAATATCAAGCTGTGTAACATCAAGCATGTCACAGGATGGACATTTTAAGAGCAAATGGACTCTATATCATGCAGAGGGACAAGTGTTTAGGTTACCGAATGAACCGCACTGCATGTTGGCATTTTCATGGAAAGCATCACAGACAAAAGGGCACGAAGTCCATCAGATGAGATCCCCAACATGCGTTTTCTGTAAACGATCACGGCGTAGCTGGTAAATTGCCATCACTTGAGAGCCAAGAACAGAATAATCCCTCAAATTGGTACTCCCTGCTATCGTTGTTACAGATTAGTGCAAATGTTTACCACTTTTCTGACATAACCCGTCCAGTGTAACTTCCATCCCAAAAGGGGGTCTTGATCTTTTTCTAAACAGCTGCCGTGACAGTGCTGAGAGACACAGAGTTAGAAAACGGTGGGCCTGGACTGTATAAGGCACTTACCGCTGAAGCTCTGTCACGTCGCTGCTTATCTCTGACTGTGTGTGTGTGTGTGTGTGTGTTGGGAGGTGATGGTGTTACTTGGGAGGCCTGGCTTCTGGGATGCATCCCTTGCGCTTAGGCCTGGATCCATTTCAGACTACTTTAATGGACAAGACCATGCGGCTACAACCCATCCCCCAAATCAGCACCTCCTGGTGTATCACAAACAACCTTGGGAACAACGCCAGCAAATACACTCGCGCCTTCTTATCACCAACTGACAATTAAAGGTGAATTTGACACCCCTCTTTAAAACCTGGGCCTGTAATTTGTTTTAGTGGGGCTTTAGGAGGACTTACCATGACTCACTGCACTGCCACTCTCCATTGCGTGGTATAGATACAGTCAACTCAATGTATCTTAGTAAGCTGT